GGACCGCGCTGACCCCTAGTCGAGCGCCTAGTCGAGTGCCTATGCCTAGTCAGAGCAAGACTGTTTTATTTTTCACTAAATTCTAATGAGACTGCTTCTTTTTAATTATTTTATTATGTTGTTAAACATAGAGAAATCAATCGTTTTTGTTTTATGAAAAGACTTGCATGTTTTTAATAAGAAAGACTTTTCACACTGTCATTTCTTTAGAATTAAAAACAGCATTCGTTCTACTTTTCAGTTTATTTCATTCTCGCTCTAAAAATGCCCCTACAACACATAAAAAACAACATCTGACCGAAATTAATAGCTGGGGGGTCAATATAGGAAAATGTGACGTCACAGGGGAGGGGGGGGTTAGTCCGAAGCGTGACCAAGTGTGACAAGGGGGAGGGGGGGGTCCAAAAATGGCCCAAAAAAGCGTGACGTAATATTTGAACGGCCCCCAAGATGTGCACACAGACGCATCTGGCAATAAACAAAAAATGCCCCTTGCCATTTATAGAGTGGGTATTGCATAGACTAGTTCTAGTTTTTCGTTATACGGCGTTGCAAACAGAGGCCCATATCGAAAGTGACAACAAAGTTGAAATATTGTAACATAGCACAAACATCAAAATTGCAAACCAAACGATGTGACAGAAATCTAGCACATCCCTTTAGGAGGACCTAATTGTAAAACTAAAATTCCCTCCAATGGATCCAGTAGTAAACTACACTCTAAAAGCCTCCCTCATCCCCTTTCACCCCTTTCCTCTCCGCTCTCTTGCTCGGCTCTGCCGCCAAATCCCCTCTGCAGCTCTGATCATTGAAATGAAGCGCCCGCTGCTCGACTTGTCCAGAGCAGAGCCTCGTAACTCGGCAGGGATTTCCGCGCAGGCGACACGGCGGCAACGCCACCGCAGGAAATTGGGGGACGGAGGCGGAGTAGGGGGTGGAAGTAGAGGGGGTTGAGAAGGGGGCATGGGCGATGCACGGCGGTACTTACAGAGTGTGGAGGTTCTTCATGTCCTTGAACGTGTTGGCAGGAATATCCCGAATTTTGTTGAAACGGAGGTCCCTGAAACAGGCAAAGGAGAAACAAAGGTTTAGGACATGAGAAGTCTCCAAGTATAAAAG